GTTTTACGCACGCGCGACGGTACAACGAACGCGTTCGTTTGAAAGTGATGCCGCGGCGGACAACGATGGATTATTGTCGTTGCTGCCGACGAAATAATTCGCCGCTTTGAAGGAATCGATAGCCACGACTCGCGTGGTTGCTGCTGCTGCTGCTGCTGCTGCCTGCGGGCTTCGGAAGGCTCCACCCTCGCGCTGCCGATGAGTCGCGTCGAAACTCGCACGTTTCTCGGCGAAAGAGAGAGGGGGAGGGAGAGAGGAAGAGAGAGAGAGAGAGAGAGAGAGAGAGAGAGAGAGAGCAACGAGACGCATCTCTCGTCTCGTTTCATGTGTTCTCGTCGGCTGCGTTAATCTCGTATCGAAAATTACTAAGCCCCGCTGACGTTCGATAAGCCCGTAAACCGACGCTCTGCCCGAGGCATCATTAGCCTCGCTACAATATGCATACGGCATCAAACTTCACCTCGCCGCGTAAACGCGCGTATGTGCACGCACACGCCTACGCGCGCGCGCGCGCGCGCGCGCTGTGTCTACTCGCCGAAAAGACGCACTCGGCGGTGCGTGCTTAGCAGCAAAATTTGCCGCGTATACGACATCAACGCCGTGCGCATTAGCGTACGCAAGGGGGGGGGGGAATTACAAGCATTTATCTGCGCTTAACGCCCCCCGAGCACGCGGCGCGAATGTCAAGCGTCTGGTCTGCGCGGAGCGTAGTGTCGCGGCTACGTGGCAACCGACGCTTTTCGCTGGGATCCAGCCGCGAAATTTCTCCCGGCTTTATCGGGGGAGTCGCGCCTCGACTCGGGGGAAGGGGGAGGAGGGGGAGTTAGTTATATCAGTCGATCGAACGATCGGTTCGCCTTTAATGTCCTCCCTCCCTCTCTCTCCTTCTCTTATCCTTTCTGCTACTCGACTACTCTGATTCTCCTCCCGCTATCCGCACGCGTACACACACACACACACACACACACACACACACACACACACACAGACTCGCATATTCTCCGTCTCTCTTTCTCTTGATCGTTCGACGCCCGGTCTTCGTAGACGAGCCCTCCGCTTCCTTCTGTTCCTCGCTGCGTTCTCCCTCGCTGCAGGAATGATAGCCACGGTGGATCCAGGTCGCGCGTAAATTTCCGGAATCTTAGCTGATTTATCACCGCTTGAAATATAGGTTGCCCGCCGGAAGGATGAAAGCCTGGCGCGTTCACAGGTCATGGCACAGTTTGCCTTCCACCCCCGTCCCAGTGGCTCCATCATCGTTTACTATCGCGCGGCACCGAACGCCGTTGGCCTCTCAGCTGGTGTTAGCCCGCCTACAGATGCTCTCCCGCCGGTAAACGGCCCGCCGCGATTCCGACCCAAGGTGAACTCGTGTTTTTACAAGGGGTTGATTCAGGGAGGGTCGGCCACGCGCGAGAGAGCGGGTAGGATGCGGCGGGCCTTAGCCGACAGACGTGGCTAAGGATTTGCTAGGCAAACACCATCGCGGTGTTACGATAACAAATCACTGCGAGCCGGCTTTCGCCGGCGACGGCGGGCGCCGGATCCGCCGCCCCGAGTCTCGCGTTCCATCGCGTTCCATCGCGCCACCGGCGAGGGAGAATATCCGGTTTCCGAGTGATGCGCGCGCGAACTCGCTTGACCGTTTCCGCGTCTACCGCGAGAGACACGCGCTCACCGTAGCAAAAGATTCGATAGACTCCGTGAAGTAGCAACGGAGCGTGCCAGTTGATCAGAAGCGATTTGCTCGTTTCACCAAGCGGTCGCCATTGATCTCTATATTATCCACATTTATGTTGTGCACGATCAAACATGCGTCGGTGGAATGAAGCAATCTTCTAGCTGGACGAATCGACGCAGAATATGAATGATGATACAGGAATTCCGGCTCGAGTTTCAGAGAATCCAGAGGATTCGGTCGAAAGCATCAAGGTTCCTGGTTAACTGGAACAGGATTCTGGTCGGATTTCAATCGGAGCTGCTGAATCGTTCATGTTTCGCCGGGAAATTGCTCCATTCGACCGAAGCATTTTCCCCCGCGTGTACATCTTCGATATTCGCAAACGCTGCCACCGCACTATATCGATCGGCGTCTTTGAGGAACCCATCAAAACTTTCGCACTCGTTCAACATTTCAGAAATTCGCGCGACGACGCGATACGAAAAACCGCCGCGCTCGGCTCGGCTCGCGTTCGGCCCTGTGGACACGATATTACGTAGTAATCCGCGAGTCGTCGTCGTCGTCGACATACGGTTGGCCGATCTCGACGAGCGTCACACAGAGACGACTTCTTCCGGCAGGGGAACACCCGCCGCCACAGTCATCGTCGCCGCCGTCGCAGAGCGAAACTGTCGGATGTTTGTCGTAAAAAAAAAGAAGAATGAAAAGAGAAAAAGGAAAAAAGAGAAAAACGCGAATTCCACGAAGCGAAGGCGCGGGCGCAGTCCACGCACGTATTCCATCAAGAGCACGGCTCCGGAAGCTGGCAGAAGGGTCGAAGGAGGGTCGCCGGAACCATACTTTACAACGGCGTGCCACGGCGGGGCCAAGATAAATGTACTCCGAATCGAATGCGTTCTCGTTCGAAAACGCCGCCGAGGAGAGGGCCAATGTCATTAAGGCCGCCTTTATCGGTCACATTCGGCGCGATTTAGATCGACGTCCTGCGATAAGATTCAGCCGGCGCGGCGCGGGCCGTATTGCGCGAAACGATTGGAAGCGGTTAGGCAGGGGAACAATGATGCATATCGGCCGGCTGTTTCTCTCGCGCTAATCTTACTGCTTATATCCAGCGCACGTAACGTTGCAACGTATCGGGTCGCAAGATCCAAGAAGTTTGTGCGAGCCTTCTTGAGTAGAAACGCGTTCGTATGCGTTTCTTGGCTACCCGAGCAAAAAATTGTTAGGGCCATTCTCATGAAGCATAAGGCCCCGATAAGGCTGAAAGTAGGATACCCTAAAAAGGGATGCCTCAGTATTATCACATGAGGCCCCAAGATGGATCTTTAGGGGTATCTTAGGTTTTACGAAATAAGGCTTTGATAAGGAAAACTGATGAGGGCCTTGGAAGGATTTTTAAGGATGCCTTAGATCTAATAAATAAGGCTTTGATAGAGAAAACTGAGAAGGGCCTTACAAGGATATTTTAGGAATGTCTTAAATTAAAAATTAATAAGATAAAATTGTTATAGTTTAGTATTGTTTTAGCAGGTACGCTCTATCTGGTTCTTTTAAGTATTCTTTAATTATACCGCAATTAGAAACAAATTTTATTAATTTTATTAGTTACCATATTCATTAGTCTCTTTCAAGAATTTTTCGAGTATTGTCTTCGTTTTGGAAAATGCAGCAAACTTTAATGAAAACAGTAGCAGGATTTTTATGTATAAAGAATACTATATTTTATTGTAGAGTATACTATATTTCTAAAATAAAAAATTCTTGCTGTATACTAACAAGATTATAAAGAAATCAAAAAATTGCAATCTAAATTTCTTGGAATGAAAAGAAGGAATATTTTTACTCAAGCAATAATAAAAATATTTTCTTATTAGGCACTATTGATGTTGCCTTATAAGGTCCTTACAATATTGTCTTATAAGGACCCGTTAATTTGTTACACATCTTGTAAGGCCCTTGTCTTTCTATTAAGGCCCTACTAAGGCCCGATTAATGTTGGGGAAAAATAATCAGGCCTTTACTAGAATCTTATTAATTTTTCAATTCGAGTATCTTTTGGCACGTTTATGGCTTCCACACTACCTGTGAATCGTGCGTTAATTTCGCTTTTGATCAATCATCATCCGCGGCCGAAGGTCTGTCGGAATGCTCCACATCTCTTCAAAGTCAGAATTGCCCGCTTGAAGTTTAGCTTGAGTCACTTGCGAACGGTCTTGACAATTCATATAGAAAGTAGACCAGTCTCGAGTAAACGCTCAATGAATGACACGGTGAAATGGCGCTTTTCAAATTCGATGTACAGCTGCCATGCATTTACGACCACTTTAACACTTGCGCAACGCTCATAGAGACGTGTGTGTTGAAACTCACACGAGCTTGTCGGAGGAGCCAATATTACTTAAGCAAATGCAGTGCGCGAGACGCGGCTTTCTTCCGCATGCGGATTTTGCATTCGCACGTCTTGCAGTCTTCGCACTGAAAATTGACTTTAACGATTTGTCGCATCGCGCGTGCGCACGCGCGCCACGAGTATCGGTTTTTATATAATAAAAACAGTTTACGTAAGAATCGCCAACAGCGACATAACGACGTGACGCTGATCGCGACACGTTTGACCACTTTTCCGTGTCGAGGAGAACAAATAAAGTGCCGCGAACCACTCACGGGCTGAAGAGAACACTGGCACTTCCGATCGACCTTTGACTTTGATCGATCACCAGCCGCCAATGTCATACATATTTCACCTATTACGTCCCCATAAACCGCCGTGTTTATCAACAGTCTATCTCTGATAAGCAAAACATGCAAAATGACACGAGACGCTTATTAAAGTCGCGATGCCGTCGCGATATCGTTGATCTTGCAAATAAACTACAGCTATTCCCCGCAAACAGAGCCGTAACAGTCGTCGCATGAGCCGAGTTTCTCGCCTGTTTGCGCGTACTGTGGAGCGATTTTACATCTCGCAGGGAATTTAGAACGTTAACAATTTGTGCTGACTTTAATATTGATTTATCTACGACTTTCGCGTGTTATCTTCTTTCTGCGCGACTTTGCGAGATAAATCAGACTCATCTTCAGAAACGTCGAAATTGGAGGAAGGCTGTCGTTTTATTCATCTCTTCTCTTAATCACACTTTATTTCGTCAGAGATAAATTCGTCGATGCTTTTTGTGACCGCAGATTCATTTCCGCTTCAACCTACGGGCAATCCATCGATGATCTAATTCGACCAATTAAATCTTATTTCGATGAAGAACGATTGTATTCCTATCAGAAGCGCACGAGTTTCAGCTTTACAACGGTCTTTCTGTTTTAGATACTTAAAAAATGGGGATACATGATTGCATCAACCGGCTGCGTCCTCCATCGACTCGTCGTCCCCAAAAAACGAAGACCAGTAAGGTAAATATCCCAATAGCCGAACATTTAACGGCGCTACATTGCTTAATTTTATAAAGGCATATGAAATTTAATGATAAAAAATATATAATTAATTGAAAGCTGAAATATGAAAATATTATTATTAAGAAATGAAAGATATAAAAAAATTCAGAATTAGTTAAGAAATTATTAAATATCTCTTATATATCTCGTATAAGATAACAATTATTTACTTTATTTTACATTATTATTATGGATTGTTTAGTTAAGTTTCTTAGGTTTTCTTGCACGTTTTTATTTTTTTATTAAGACTTTTTTTCTTCTAATAATTTCTTCTTTCCTGCTTGTTTTTTCCTTTCCTCGATAATTATTTTCTTGTATCTTCATAGCCAATTTCCGGTCAGCGTCGAAAATTGAAAAGATCACCATTGGGTAGATCGTATCCGAAAGCGTAGCCGTGAAAACCGAAAATTCGGGAATTTTGTTAAAAACCATTTCCCTTCATCTTAAAAGGAGTGGATGGATCTGAGTGGATAGGATAGTGTCTGAAACACCCTGTATGATGAAAAGTTATAAAAGTTATGATAGAGATGATCAAAACATACACTTTTAAAACACGAGAATATTTGCTTACTTTTAAAAAAAAACTCTAATGTTGACAATACTATTATATAGCCTTATTTATAAAAGTACTTATGAAGTTGATCTTAACACCAGTTATATTCTTCAGTTTGCTTATTGGTACTCACCAGCATATACGTATGTCACCAAAGCAAGCTGCACTAGACATGTGATCTAGGTTGCTAGGCACTCGTGAAATTACAATAGCAGCAGTAGCTAAATTCAAAAATTTTAACTACGTACATATAATTTCTGTTATTAACTAAATGGTTTGTTATAATTGTTCTTCATCATTTCCGGATTGAATAGCGTAATGTTCGTAAGATATAAAGAACAAAATAAGGAAGAAATGTCTCAACAAATATGTCTTAAACTTTTTAAGATAATGCTGAGAACTTCGTCAAAGCATATCCCATATCTAATTGTGTTATAATTTTCGTTTCCGTTGGAGACTAATTTTTACAATGCTTGAAATTATTCATTATGTAAATATTTTTGGATATTGACAAATATTAATATTAATTTTGAATATTGACAAATTTCAATTAAATATGGTATTACGCTAGAGGAAATATTTGAGTTTAATAATGATAAATTTCTGTACATATGTCCAGATCTGATATATAGAGACAGATCTGGGCAATTGATATTTTTACCTTCTTTTCAATTCCTTTTTGTTGATATTATGATTTTGATGAGTCTGAAATTTCTAAAAGTCAACAAGTTAACAAAAGTTAGGGCACTATTGTAACAGTATATTCTTGAGACCAAATAGAATAAAAAAACTTGATACCACTTTTCCTCCCGACAAATAGTTTCCGAGATATTGTAAGGTAAATATTGAAATACCAAGTTCTCCTTCAATATCTCAAAAAAATTAAAAAAATGTTTCGGATAAAAGTTGTTCAAATTAATTAGTAGAAAAATATGATATAATAAAAAATTGGGATTTTCACATAAGAAAAGTGACGATCAATGAATACCTCGAGAGCCAGCTGTAAATTAAAATGAGCCACCCTATATATATATAGCTAGAATGCTTGTAAGCCATTTTTAAAACGGCTTTTATCGAGAAAAGAGAGTTCAGGATGCAAATCAATGTCTGTGTTATAGTCAATGTTTTGATGCGTTTGTCGGAAGCGGAAGCAGGTGTGTTCCAGCAGCCATGTAGTAACTTGTTTACGCAACAGCGTTACGGAGGAATGCGGACCCGTCCCCACCCCCACGCTACGTCCACTGGCCGCCCGTTCGCGCGTTCAATGACCCCATTCATGCGCAAGCAGTCCGCAGGGGAGTGAGGCCCAGGATGCTGTATACATCGAAGCGGTCTTTATTCAGTATGTTGGTGTATAATTTGTAGACTGCGCTAGTCCGCAATCTAGAGCTTAGTGGACCGAGTGTACCGAAACTTTAAATGTCCATAACCCTATGAACGCGAACAGATGCGAAACAAAAGCCAATCTCCTTGGCGCGCGTCTACTAGTATGTTACTCTTTTGCTCCAATTCATCAGTCCGATCCATAGGACGACCAAATATGTCATAGACTTGAACTCGAGAAACTTCACATCGCGATGTACGCCGTAAAACCGACGAATTTCTGGATTCTCGTGATACAATAATTATTTGAAGCGACCGCTGAGCCTGGAAAATGCACTACACGTGCTCCGGTCGTCTAGAAATTGAAGTCTGAACTCCCCGGGACATTAATCATCTCGCGATATGTGTGTGTTTCATTAAGATCTTTGTTTGCTCTTACGCGAGAGAAACAACTCCGCTAGTGTAACTGAAATTTCCGTTGCCTGGGGACCAGACAGAGAGAGAGAGAGGGAGAGAGAGAGAGAGAGAGAGAGAGAGAGAGAGAGAGAGAGAGAGAGAGAGAACTCGGCTGTGGAAACAGAAAAATTGCTGTAGAAGATTTCGACTCGATCACTCGATTGCGCTCAAACGATCTCAATCAAGTTTCAACACAGCCGCGTGCGCGGAACAATGCTTTCGCACGAGCCAACAGAAACATCGTTTCTCGTTGCAGACTTTTCGTCCGGTCCCCATTCGGTTACACGAACTGACATGCTTTCCCGCGCGTATAAAATCGATTAGCCAATCGGACCTTTACTCGCGACTCCGAGGAACTCTGCACACGTCCTCGAATCAGCAAAGCGCTCGCGCGTAGCGCGATGACAAATGGTCGCCATCTTGCCGCCTGATCGAATGCACCGATTCCCCGCATATTTTCTTCGTCCCGCTTGGCAACGCCACATTGTTCTTCGCGACGGGAAAGGAACTGCCGTTGCAACGGTTGCCCATTTTCCTCATTCACCCGGCAACGCGACATTATTCACGCCACGCTGCGTGCGAGCTCGCTGCACGACTACCGCCATCAGATAGTCAATGGAGAACGATACGTCGCTCTTCGAAGGATTTTCCAAGCGAGTCCTCCCATCGCGCGAAAGTACCTGCCCTCCGCGAAGCTGACCCTGCGCTGATTATTTGCGATAAACGCGATTTTATCTGCGATACTGCGCGTTTACCGCTGCGCCAATGCGAGATTGAGTAAATATTTGCCCGTTCATTTCGTACGATGTAACAATTTGGAACGCATAATGGCGCGAGACCACAGACTCCTCCGTTTCGTGGGCGCGAAGACGCGCCGCATCATTCATATATTTGAGTTCCATCGCGTCCGCTGTGTTTTCCACACACACACACACACACACACATACACACCGACATGTTCGCGCGTCACCTCCGACGAGCATCGGCGCGCTCGCGAGCGACGCAACGCGTCGTCGAACTTCCGTTTCGGCGACGATCGATTCGCGCGGGCCTCGTTTCTTCGTCCCTTACGGCCTCCGGCCGAGCGGAGAAGTAGCGGAAGGATTCATATGCTGTCGTCGCCGGCGTCATTCTCATCGTTCCAGTTAGGATTGAGACGTTTGTCTTGCATCTGACGTTGCGTCTTACTCGCGGGAGATAGGGAGAAGCCGGCGAGCGCTCGAGTGGAGGCTTGCCGGGTCGGCGCTGCATGTGACGTCTAACGTAACGCCAATAACTCACCTACTCTACGCGGAAGCCCTTTCTGAGGAGGGAGGAGGGGGCAACTTGCTCCTTCGCACCGAGTAAGACCGTCCACCCTCCCCTTTCCTCTTACCCCTCGCCCGTTACATCCACATCTCCCTCCCTACGCATCCCACCTCTTTATACTCCACCCGCTACCGCCGCCGCCGCCGCCGCCGCCACCACCACCACCTCCTCCTCCTCCTCCTCCTCCTCCTCCTCCTCCTCCTCCTCCTCCTCCTCCTCCTCCTCCTCCTCCTCCTCCTCCTCCTCCTCCTCCTCCTCCTCCTCCTCCTCCTCCATCTCCTCCACCTCTTCTTCTCCTCCTTCTCCACCGGCACTAGCACACCACCACCGCCGCCGCCACCTTCACCACCTCCACCACCGCCATCGCCACCAGCACCACTACCTCGCCGTCACCTCGAGACTCCCTCGGAATAACCCTAGGCACCGCCAAGTTTGCGAAGGGATGAACGAGAAATTACAGGGAGGTTTGGCTAAATTCCTTCTTCGCCCGCCACGCCCGGCGCCATCCTCCCGTGGGACTCGCTCCCGAAGGGATCGGTAATTACTCGCCGAACGAGGCCCGATCTGATCATTAATTTACCTCCAATTTCGAACGGTTATGCTTTCCCACGGAAACTGCGGCCAGACTCGGGGTATTATCACGGCGAGGGAGAGAGACAGAGGGGGGGGGGAGATAGATAGATAGAGAGAGAGAGAGAGAGAGAGAGAGAGAGAGAGAGAGAGAGAGAGAGAGAAAGAGGGGAAGAGAGAAAAGGGGTACTTGGTTATCGCATAGAAGCGAGAGGAAATAAAAGAGCCGAATACGGGAATGTGGGTCAAGCCGCGTTCGCCGGCGTACAGCATGTACGCGCCGGGCGAGGACACGGCCGCTTCTCCTTTTTTTCTTTCTTTTTACGGGCGCATATGCACCGCGCGTCCCGTTTCTTTATTCACGCGATGAATCGCGTATGCAACGACGCGACCCGGCTTCAACCGGTATTCGCCATTGTCGACGAGATATACCGTCGGCGGTGGAACCTTGCGAATGAAAAATTCGAGGCGGACGGGTAGTTATATCGGGGCACCTCCTGGTGCTCTCTCTCTCTCTCTCTCTCTCTCTCTTTCTCTCTTTCGCGCGCGAGCGCGCCGGCTCGCCCCGGGTATTGCGACTTTGTACGTATAGCGCGATCCTTTATCATCGCGGCGAGCGCGCGCTACTGAAACGTAACGCGCGAGAGAACGCTCGCGCGTGATTACGTGCGTACATCTCGTCGTATTACGCACACACGTACATACGGTTCGGCTCTTGTATCGAGAATTACAAACGCCGGACAATAGT